GTTCATCAGGCACCACACAGGCATGTTCCTCAATGCAAATTTGATCTGACACTGCTCTGCACTGAACTCCTCGGCGTCTCCCCCTGCTCCCCACCCCTCCAGCCCCTCCCACTGAGCACCTCTCAGTTTCCCTCATGCCTCCACTTCCCCAAATGCCCTTCCACCCAAGCTCCCCTGTCTCCTTGCTACCCTAGACGTGTTCTTCAAGTCTCACTTTATCTGTTAACTTCTGGAAATCTGCGCCTGATCCCACACTTGGAGTCAGGCATTCTTCCTATCATGAGCAGGGTGAATAGTACCTTCTACAGTCATCATGATATAAACACTTTTGAGGGCTGGGCGCGGTGACTCACGCCTGTCATCCTAGCACTTTGGGAGGCTGAGGTGGGTGGATCACGAAGTCAGGAGTTCCAGACCATCCTGGCCAAGATGGTGAAACCCCGTCTGTACTGAAAATACAAAAAGTTAGCCGGGTGCGGTGACCGACACCTGTAATCCCAGCTACTCGGGAGGGTGAAGCAAAAGAATTGCTTGAATCTGGGAGGCAGAGGTTGGAGGCGGAGGTTACAGTGAGCTGAGATCGTGCCATGGCACTCAATCCTGGGTGACAGAACAAGACTCTGTCTCAATAAACAAACAAACAAACAAACACTTTTGATTTCTTTTAACATTGTGATGCAACTCTCTGGGGAAGATCAGCAGGGGGAAATGGTGTGTTTGTGTATAGGTGTAGCGAGGTGTGATCAGAGAGCTTAGTCTCCATTTTTCAGAGTAGGAAGTTTGAAGTCAGTAGATGGTGGCTCAAATTGAAAAAATCAATACACATATAAGCTTTATTGTTTAGAATTACAAATGCAAATATTTTTAAAAACCCAAGAGTTTGACAACTACAGGGCTGGATTAGGGGGCTGTTGCTATATAACTGATGTTTAATGTATAACTAATCAAACAACAACTACATTAGGAAAATAACTAAAACAGATCAAATCAGAGCTGCTATGTGTGGGGTAGGAGGGCAGCTCCAGCCCATCCCTGGGACTCTCAGAGCACAATTTGAAACTAGACGCAGGCCAGGTCTGGTGGCTCATGCCTGTAATCCCAGCACTTTGGGAGGCCAAGCCCAGAGGATCTCGTGAGGCCAGGAGTTCAAGACCAGCCTGGGCAACATAGTGAGACCCCATCTCTACAAAAAAGTTAAAAAGTTAGCCAGGCACAGTGGCACGTGCCTATAGTCCCATCTACTCAAGAGGCTGAGGCAGGAGGATTGCTTGAACCCAGGAGTTCAAGGCTGCAGTAAGCCATGATTGTGCCCTGCACTCCAGTCTACATGACAGAGCAGGACCATGTCTCTTAGAAAACAAACAAACAACAACAAAAAAACAAAACACAAACTAGGCAAACCATGGTTTCATTAAAATCCCTGGAAATGAGAGAACTGCCTAACACCTTGGATGAGAAATAGCCATTTGAACAATTAATTTGTGATTCAGGATGGGAGAATTTTGCCACATTTAGTTTCTACATAGAAGCAAATGCTGCCATTTCTCTTTTGAGGTTTATTCAACATTCAGAAAGACTGGGCAATATGGTGAAACCACGTCTCTACAAAGAAGTTAACAACAACAAAAAAATGAGCTGGGTTTCGTGGTGTGCACCTGTAGTCCCAGCTACTTGGGAGGCTGAGGTGAAAGGATCAGTTGAGCCCAGGAGGCAGAGGTTGCAATGAGCCAAGATCATGCCACTGCATTCCAGCCTGGGAGACAGAGCCAGAACATGTCTCAAAAAAAAAAAAAAGAATCTAGAAGAAGAAATCTACCAATTATCACTGGCCCCACATCTAAGCAGCTGTGTCTTTCAGAGACGGTCTCTCTTGGCTGGTGATGTACCTTCCTGGTCCTTCACTGAGATTCAAAGGGAGTGTCTTGAGAAAGAGCGACAGAAAAAGCTCTGTTCCCAGAGCTGTCTCTGAAAACATGTAGAATTTTTTTGGCAAAATCTTGGCCATATTAAATCAAGGAAACTGCATATTTGAATTAGGTTCTCCCTGGGCCAAGTTTTTACGTAGATTTTCAGTAATGTTAATGCATGATATATAAGCATAGAACCTTGATGTCGGGAAGAGGCTGTATGAAGATACTAATGCAACATACTGCATTTAGAAAGCCTTTCACACTGAATCATATAGAACAGAAACATCTTTTTACGATCTCATTTCACAGTCACATGTGAAATTTATCTTTAAGCCTTAGGAATGTACATATATTTTTATATATTTGTAAAATCTGCAAAAGGGAGCACAAGGCATTAGGAGAGTTACATTCAGGTTTTTCTGCAGGATTCCCAGGATCACCTCTTTTTGTGAGGTTTCCTTAACATAGAAGCCTTTTATTTTCTTTTTAGTTTTAAGGAAAATTTAATTTTTTGTTTTGTTTTGAGATGGAGTTTCGCTCTTGTTGCCCAGGGCTGGAGTGCAATGGCGTGATCTCGGCTCACTTCAACTTCCGCCTCCTGGGTTTAAGTGATTCTCCGGCCTCAGCCACCCAAGTAGCTGGGATTACAGGGCACGTGCCACCATGCTCGGCTAATTTTTATATTTTTAGTAGAGACGGGGTTTCACTGTGTTGGTCAAGTTGGTCTCAAACTCCTGAATTCAGGCAATCCATCCACCTCAGCCTTCCAAAGTGCTGGGATTACAGGTACGAGCCACCACTCCTGGTCCTTGAATTTTTTTTTTTTTTTTTTTTTGAGACAAGGTCTTCCCTGTCGCCCAGGCTGGAGTGCCAGTGGTGTGATCATAGTCCACTGCAGCCTTGACCTTCTGGACTCAGGTGGTCCTCCCACCTCAGCCTCTCGAGTAGCTGGGACTATGGTATGTGCCACCATGCCTGGCTAATTTTTTAATTAGATGGGGGTCTCACTTTGTTTGCCCAGGCTGATCTTGAACTCCTGGGCTCAAGCGACCCGCCCACTTCAACCTCCCAAAGTGCTGGGATTACAGGCATGAGTCACTGCACCCAGCTAAGGTTTTTTTTTAAGACTTAATTTTTTTTAGACCAGGTTTATGTTCACAGCAAAAAGGAAGGTACAGAGAGTTCCGGTGTACTCCCCTGCCAGCCTGCCCCATGATTAACATCCCCTCAGAGCAGTCCATTTGTTACAATCCATGAACCTACACATCATCATTGTCCAGAGTCGACAGCATACATTAGGGTTCACTCTGCTGTTGCACATCCTGTGGGTTTGGACAAAGGTACAATGACATGCATCCATACGGAGTAGTTTCACTGCCCTAAATAGAAGCCTTTTTTTGAGGTATGTCCCCAGGTTTTGCCCTTTATCTGAGAACTCACACCCATTGCCACTCCCAAGAGTGCACTGTGTCCCCATTCCAACCCCACGTGCTCACACAACCACAGGACAGAGGGAGCAGCTGTCCCTGTGTGGAAGTGCCCCAGATGGGTTGTCTGCCCTGGGGATCTGGATGGGGACATCCAAAGACAGGGTCAGTTAGTGTAATCACCAGCCTTGTTCGGATCATAGAAAGACCCACGTGTTTCAGCAGAGGTGAGGGAGCAGCTCTGCACAGTGGGGAGAGGGGCAAAGTAGGTGAGCTGGGGAAACAGGGAGAAGAGATTTCTGTCCTGAGGCAGGGACAGTTGGAGACAGAGTCAAACAGAGGATTCAAGTGATGGCAAGATGGAAAAACAGAAACAGGGACACAGTGAGTCGAAAAAAGATGCCACCGAGCAACAGCGGCGCAGACAGAGAGGAAGGCAAGGCTAGGGCTGCTTTGGCTCCCCCTGGACGTCCCTGCCTGCAGGCCTGGCTGCTCCTCAGTGCAGATTCCAGAAGCTGCCTGGCCACCCTCAGATAAACCCCCCTAAACACCCCCCCTTTCTTCTTCTTCCTCTTCTCTTTTTTTTTGAACAGGGTCTCACTCTGTCACCCAGGCTGGAGTGCAGTGGCACAATCTCGGCTCACTGCAACCTCCACCTCCCAGGTTCAAGCAATTCTTCTGCCTCAGATGCCACCATGCCCGGCTAATTTATTTGTGTTTTTAGTAAAGATGGGGTTTCACCATGTTGGCCAGTCTGGTCTTGAACTCCTGACCTCAAGTGATCCGTCCACCTCGGCCTCCCAAAGCGCTGGGATGACAGGCCTGAGCCACAGTGCCCAGACTCCCTTTTCTTCTTCACCTGATGGAAGGGGCTCTTCTTTGCATCCACGAAATGCTGGGTGAGTCAGTCAGCAAACTGCTTGGGAATGATGGGAGCTAGGGCTGCTGTTTTGGGTCTGTTCTGCTCATTTATTTTTTATCATTTTGGGGGGTTTTGGAGGTGGGAAGTCAGTGCTCCTCCCCCCACGCCCCACAAGGGATGGGAATTAGGCATGTCAGTCAGTATAATACAATTTTCTAAGTATGTCTCTTTGTTCAGACACCAGTATTTTTTTAATTTTTTATTTTTCTATCTCTAGTTATTAAGTCATTGCTGCTGTAGGACTGCCACTTAAGTGACTGGGTTTTTATTTTTGTCCCCAAGGTACAAAAAGTACTACCAGCCGCACACAGTGGCTAACGCCTGTAATCTCATCACTTTGGGAGGCCAAGGCGGGAGGATCGCTCGAGCTCAGGAGCTCAAGACCAGCCTGAGCGATGTAGTGAGACCTCATCTTTACAAAAACTTTAGAAATTAGCCGGGCGTGGTGGCGTCAGCTTGTAGTCCCACCTACTCGGAAGGATGGCTTGAGCCTGGAAGTTCCAGGCTGTGGTGAGCCGAGGTCGCGCCACTGCACTTCAGCCTGGGCGACAAAGGGAGACCCTGTCTCAAAATAAAAATAAAAATAAAAGTACTGCCTACTTTCTGAACGCGCTCAGGCGGTGTCGCCTCAGGCGATGTAGTGGGGCCGCGCACAGGCTGCCTGGGTGATCTCAGGCGGGCGAAGCCCCACGACGCAGGTTTGGGGCGGTCCTGTCCAAACTCCTGCGCATCGCGAGTGTCCAGAAACGCAGGTTGAACGCTGGAGCCCAGGGCGTCCTCGGTGCCGGAAGCGGCCGCGCGGGCGAAGCGCCGGGGAAGGAGAGCGTGGCGGAGGAGCCGGGCTTCGGGGTATCAGCCGTTTGCAGAGGTCCCTGGACCCCCGTCCTTCCACGCGGAGGGCGTGAAGTGGCGGGGACGGGGCTGAGGAGGCCCCAGTGGCAGAGAGGCCCCAGCGGCGGGGAGGACGCGACGCCGATCCCTTCCGGTGCTGCTCACCTGGAAGCCGGAGGCCGCTGGGAGTTTGGGGCGGCTGCATGCTCCGGGGTTGGGGGATGCAGGAGCCCGGTCGGGCCCAGCTGCCCTTCCCGGTAGTGAGGAGCGCTGTGCCGGGCTCCGGGGGTCTTGCTGTTTCTGCTCGCCCTCGCGCCCGCTCCGCTGCCGGGCCTGCCCCGGCAACAACAAGGCCCTGACCCAGCTCTGCAGGGGGAGCTGCCCGGCCCTGTCCCACCCCGGCCCCACGCTGTGATCCTAGGGTCCTCAGGCGCCGGCCAGGCCGAGGGGTCTGCCAAGTCCAGCTCGGGGCTGGGCTGCCACCTCCCCAGCGGCCCCGCCTTCAAGCCAATTTAGATCCGGGCCAGCGCTGTGCTGGCGTTGCTTCACTCATTTGCTCACCCATGCATTGACTGACCGACTCCCCCATCAGGACCTAAGGGCCACTGGCACCGGGCCAGGGGTGTTCCTTTAGTTTTTGTTTTTTGTTTTTTGTTTGTTTGTTTTTTTTTTTTTTTTTAAGACAATCTTGCTTTGTGGCCCTGTGGCGTGATCTTGGTTCGCTGAAGCCTCCACCTCCTAGGCTTAAGCGATCCCCTCGCTTCGGCCTCCAGGGTAGCTGGGACCACAGACGCGTGCCGCCACACCCGGCTGTCTTTCTTTCTTTCTTTCTTTCTTTCTTTCTTTCTTTCTTTCTTCCTTTCTTTCCTTTCTTTCCTTTCTTTCCTTTCTTTCCTTTCTTTCCTTTCTTTCCTTTCTTTCCTTTCTTTCCTTTCTTCTTTCCTTTCTTTCCTTTCTTCCTTTCTTTCCTTTCTTTCCTTTCTTTCCTTTCTTTCGACAGAGTTTTGCCATATTGCCCAGGATGGTCTCAAACTCGTGAGCTCAAGGATCCTCCTGTCAGGGCCTCCCAAAGTGCTGGGAATACAGGCGTGAGCCACCACACCTGGCCTTTTTTTTTTTTTGTTTCTCTCATAATCACATCACACGCAGCACAGGGGTCCTTTAGTCTTTGTGTTTCACCGAAGGTCAGAAATTTTCCTTGATTGTCTTTTCCAGTGGCCAACATCAGGGCTGGCTTCAAGAGTCCTGGGGAACACTTTTCCCTTAAGGATCTGGTGGCTTTCACTCCATTGTCTCAGGTATTGACTGTTGCATGTGAAGTTCAAGGTTGTCCTGATTATTAAGATTTTCGGAAATCATCTAAGTTTGAATTTTTTCTGCATGAAATTTGGGAGAAGTCTTTATGTATTTATTTTTTGAGACGGAGTTTCGCTCTTGTTGCCCAGGCTGGAGTGCAGTGGTGCCATCTTGGCTCCCTGCAACCTCCCACTCCCAGGTTCAAGCAATTCTCATGCCTCAGCCTCCCGAGTAGCTGGGATTACAGGCATGCACCACCATGTCCAGCTAATTTTTGTATTTTTAGTAGAGACGGGGTTTCACCATGTTGGCCAGGCTGGTCTCGAACTCCTGACCTCAGGTGATCCACCTGCCTCAGCCTCCCAAAGTGCTGGGATTAACAGGTATGAGCTACTGCACCGGGCCATAAGTCTTTATTTTTGTACCAAGTTTAAGAGTTTCCCCAAGAGATAGCTTAGGGTCGGTAGTCTCGTTTTAATTGGTACAAGATGACCCATCTCAGTTCATTTTAAAGACTTGCATTCGTTTATTCGACAAATATTTATTGAGTGCTTACTATATGCTAGGTAGCACTGTTTTAAGTTCTGAGGAGAGAGCAGTGAAGAAAATAGACACGCTCTTTGTCCTTAAGGATTTTACAATGGGGTGTGTGTGTGTGTATGTATGTGTGTGTGTGGTGTGTGAGAGAGAACAAGTTTTTGATTATTGATTTCCTTCCACCATAAATAAAATGATTTATTTTATCCAGAAACTTAAAGTGTTTTTCCCTCATACTGTATCTTCACACTTTATCCTAAATGCCTGCCATTTTCCCTTGTTTTCTTTTCATCTCTCCATTAATATCCCTCACTTGGCACATAGGTTTCTCTTGTTTATCTTCTGCTTAATAATCCAGTTCTCTGTAAGCCTATTCATTTCAGCTTCCAGGGACAATCTAATATGATGAAGCACCCAGTTCCCCCTGCACTGTCCTTGTCTAATTTCCCTCAGAATAGGTAATAGCTGTTTTCTAAAATCTCTTTACATTTCATATGAGAAATCTATTTCAGGAAATAGGATTATCAATACAATTTTGCTGCTTTCTTCTTTTACGTCTGTGCTCAGGGCTTTCTCACTGGGATCAGATTAATTTTCTTCCTCTTATATTCAGACCTCCATGCAATTCATGTGTAAATCCAACAAGAGCAAGTGGATGTTTAAACCCTTGTAGCATGTATGTGTAAATAAAAGAGAAGAAAGGAAGGAAGGAGGAAAGGAGGGGAGGGGAGGGGAGAGGACAATTTAAATCGTGCCAGCGAGTCTACCTGTCATTGTAGTCAGAGTGTGTGCCCAGAATGAGCAGAGATAGATGTGATGGGAGCCTGTTATTCTCTCAGTGGGTCTCCCAAGTGCCTCTTATACTGTGAGCATCTCATTATGCAGACTGTGACTTTCATGTCTAAAGATGTGTGTTTTTTGGCCAGGCGTGGTGGCTCACACCTGTAATCCCAGCACTTTGGGAGGCCGACGTGGGCAGATCGTCTGATGTCAGGAGTTCAAGACCAGCCTGACCAACATGGAGAATCCCCATCTCTACTAAAAATACAATAAATAAATAAATAAATAAATAAATAAATAAATAAATAAGCTAGGTATGGTGGTGCATGCCTGTAATCCCAACTACTCAGGAGGCAGAGGTTGCAGTGATTGTGAGATCACTCTAGCCTGGGCAACAAGGTGAGACTCCATCTCAAAAACAATAAAAATAAAAAAATAAATAAGTAAATAAATAAATGTATGGGTAATTTGAGGGATTTTCATGAGTAACTCTGACTGTATGGGATAAAGTCTTACATAGAGATTTTAGAATCACTCCTCCGATAAGATGTGATCCTATCATACTAGACTTGTCAACCACAGTGTCTGAGAGGCCATGGGACTTCTAACTGACTAAGGTAGGCAGACACATCTCCCTGAAGCTTCCAGTTTATAGGCCACCTGGTAATCTATGGCATGGCTTGGTACAGACAGATGAGATGAGCCAATCATATTCCCCTTCTCTGGAATCTGAAATTGGGAATAATCAAAGGATGAGGCACTTAGCCATGGAAACTGAGGCTTCATGAAATGCACTGTCATTTTTGCAATACCCTATTGGCTACACAGGTCAGCTCTATTAAACATAGAAAGGAACTTCATGGCACAACTCATTAATTTAACATTTGTTGAGCACCTGTGATGTGCCAGGCACTGTTCTAGGTCCTGAGGATATGGTGATGAACAAGATCCTCACTCTCATAGCTTACCCAGCAGGTACCCTAGGCAGGCAATGAATAAATATATGAGCAAGATGAAAAGAGAATGCCAGAAAGCCCTAAAGTTTTGGAGCAAAGCCATGAACTCTTTTCACAACTATTTCCTTTTTGAAAAACATCTCTCCACTTGCTGTTGGGTTCTGTTGTTTGTGAGTGCAAGGATGGAAGACGGTGGATGACGATGTCAAGCAGCCAAAGGGGTGGACTGTTCAGGCCATGGAGTTAGTGTAATAGGAGAATAACAATAATAACTAAGGCTGGGCGCAGTGACTCACGCCTGTAACTCCAGCACTTTGGGAGGCTGAGACAGGCAGATCACCTGAGGTCAGGAGTTTCAGACCAGCCTGGCCAACTTGGTGAAATCCTGTCTCTACTAAAAATACAAAAATTAGCCGAGCACAGTGGTGGGTACCTGTGATCCCAGCTACTTGGGAGACTGAGGCAGGAGAATTGCTTGAACCCAGGAGGTGGAGGTTGCAGTGAACCGAGATTGCACCACTGCACTTCAGCCTGGGCGACAGAGCGAGACTCCATCTCAAAAATAATAATAATAACTAATAACAAAATGGAACAATTATAACAGTATACTGTGATAAAACTTATGTGAATGTGGTTTCTCTCTCTCTCTCTCTCTGTCTCAAAATGCCTTATTGTACTGTACTCACCTATTTTTAGATGGTGGTTGACCGCAGGTAACTGAAACCGCAGAAAGCAAAACTGCGATGTGGAGGGACTGCTTGCATCCTCCTTTCAGACCTGTTTGTGAGAGAGTTTTAACTGGAGGGCATCTAAATAATCAGAGAGTGGGAAGCGAAAGGGGTACTCACTTTTTATAGTTTTGTATTGTTTGTAAATGTTTTCTATTTCATATGTTTTGTAATTCAGGCCAAAGGAGATAATGACAAACAGGAAAAAATGCTATGTGTCTGACTTTTAGGAATTTATTAGAGGGAGTGGAAATTCTACCACCTCCTATTGCTAAATCTCATTAAAATGCCCTTGAAATCAACCCAAACCAACTCTCAGGCACAGCCAGAACAACAGAGGCAGAGCAGAGCTCAGGATCCTGAATCCACACCCCCTAGTCACTCCGGGTGGGAAGAGAGGAAGGGGGCTCTCCCTTTAGTGGTCATCCCTGGGTGGAAGAGAGGAAGGGGCTTGCGCCTGTAATACCTGGTCTGGCTGGAGAGGTCGATGAGGCAGGACCATCAGCACACAGGAGTGGAGGCGCAGTTTCCCCCACTGGCCGGTGCTCTGGCCCAGCCCAGGATCAATCAGACAGAGCCCAGCCTCCAGCATCAGTCTGGAAGGCCTGGGAGGAAGGAGAACAAACTCACCCATGTCACTCCCAAGTCATGGGGCATTTCCAGTGAGAACATAGACTTAGAACTCGGGAGGAAGCCTGGAGGCTGGAAAAGCTGTCAGCTGGGCTGCAGATCCGCCTCCGCCTCCAGACAGCACACAAGCAGATCAGCCTCAGGTGCCCTGCCTGACTCCACGATTTGGCCTCCTCTCATTCACAACTCTATCTCCTCTCTATGTCATTCCTCCTACTCAGGGCCGAGTAGTCAAAATATCAAACCACTAATAAAGCATGGGTACTCGCCAGTCAGACTACACACCAGCTAAATACCATAGAGGGCAATTGTTCAAAAACTTAGTGGCATAAACAACAAACATTTCAGCATACTATACACTTATGGGTCAGAGTTTATGGTTTCGTTCAGGCCTCACAAAGTTATTAGATGTCAGAGTTGAATCATCGAAACCATTGGGGCTGGAGGATCCTTCAAGATGTCTTTATCTAAGGTTGTTGGTATAGGTTTGAAGGCCTCACACAGGGCTGCTTGAGTATCTTCACAACATGGCGGCTGGCTTGCAGCATATCTGTGGAGACCACACAGAGCTCAAATGCCTATGATCTTCCCTGAGTTATGACATTTTCAATTGATTTGTAAAGATCCATCTGGTCAGCTTCAGTCATGGAGGCTACACAAGTGGTGTAACAACAGACGCAAGACTACTGGAGATGTTGAAGGAAGCACTCCACGATTTTGTGCAGGCGTCCTGGCCAAACTTCAATGTTTCCCACAGGTAACTCAGAATAAAAATCCAAATGAACTGGCCATGATCTGTAAGGTCTGGCGGAACTGACTTTCACCATCAATCTCATTATGTCTTCTTATTCATCAACGAAATCTTCAAACACATCAATTCCTTCCCCAGACGGATCAATGATTTTAGCTTATCTTTACATTTCTGCCTACTTCAAAGTCTCCTTGCCCAGATCTTTCAAGGCTGTCTTTCACTGTTTGGGTTCCCAGCTTCACTGCTACCTCTCAGAGAGCCACTGACTTCTTTACTTGGCAGTAGTCTGTCCACTCTGTCACTCAGTGATCACTGTGCTGACTCTCCTAGCAATGATTCTGACATCAGCATGAATTGTTTGACATGCTTTCCTCGTACTTATAGAGTCTTAATGATGGCAACAGACTGTTTTAGCTATTTGTGGCTTGAGGAACTATTAAAGGATAGGAGATGCTCTATAAATCTTAGGGAAATCAGAGAACCAGGCTCGGAGGTCATTTACCTGGACTGGTTCTCTCTGCTGCTGCCTCTGGGATCTGCTGTCATCCTGACAGAAAGGACTCCAGGCACCTGCTTCCTCAGTGTCACTTAGCCTCATGCAGGAGCACGACGGTAGTGTTCTGGCGGTATGGCTGTCATAATCTTCAAGAGGATGGCATGGGGAAAGTTTTTTGGCTTCCATCATAAGCAGGTGTGAGTTCATAAGGTAGGAAATTCTCAAAATAGGAAGACTGTTCCACGGCTGGGAAGCCAAAGAGAGCTGGATGCTACTTGGCTTCGACAGTCCACGCCTTTTAGCTGCTTAATGTCATCAGCCAGCTTCTCTGCCGCTAATTCCAGCACTTTGGCAGGCTGAGGCTGGCAGATCACAAGGTCAGGAGTTCGAGACCAGCCTGACCAATATGGTGAAACCCCCATCTCTACTAAAAATAGAAAAATTAGCTGGGCGTGGTCGCATGTGCCTATAATCCCAGTCATCAGGAGGCTGAGATGAGAACGGTTTAACTGGGAGGCAGGCAGGTGAGCTGAGATCGCTCCACTGCACTCCAGCCTGGATGACAGAGCAAGACTTCTGTCTCAAAAACAAACAAACAAACAAAAAACAAACAGAGTTCATGGCTTTGCTCCAAAACTTTAGTGCTTTCTGCTATTGTCTTGTCATCTTGCTCATATTTGCTTATTGCCTGCTTAGGGCACCCACTGGGTAAGCTATGAGAGCAGGGATCTTGTTCATCACCATATCCTCAGGACCTAGAACAGTGCCTAGCACATCATAGGTGCTCAATAAATGTTAATGAATTAGGTACATGAAGTCTTCCAAAGTGACTGATGAGAAACTACCACGATCACTTCAGGCAGGTGGGGATGGGGATGGTGGGAAGCGAGCGCCCCCTTTCCTCTCTTCCCACCCGGAGGACTAGGGTGGGATTCAGATCCTGAGCCTGCTCACGCCTTGTTTGGCTGTGCCTGAGCAGTTTGAAGATTTCATGTGATGAATGAGATTTTAGCAATAGGAGTAGAATCTCCACTCCCTCTGACAATTCCTAAAGTCAGACACATAGCATTTTTTTCCTGTTTATTAGTCTCTTTGTCTGAATTACAAACATATAAATGATAAAGCATTATGCAGCCTATTATAATATAAAGATAATTTTCGCTTTCACTTGATTATTAGATGCTCTCCAGTTAAACTTTCAATAGGTCTGGTACAGGATGTAAGCAGTCCCTCCCATCGCAGTTTTGCTTGTGGTTTCCAGTTTATCATGGTTAGCTGCACCATCTAAAATAGTGAGTGCACATGCATTTGAGAGAGAGATAGAGACTGATTCGATATAGTTTCATCACAGCATACTGTTATAATTTGTTCTATTTTATTATTAGTTATTATTGTTAATCTCTACTGTACTAATTATAACTCACCTTTATCAGGTACAAAGTGTATAGGAACAAACATCCAGATACGCCAGTACTATTAGCTGTTTCCAGGCATCCTGATATTCTGCAATGGGACTCTGAGATAAGCGTGGGTCTATTAAATGTCCATATCCATAGGGTTGAGGTTTAACAAAGATAGATTCCTTAGAAGCAGACTTCCACATTGCAATGTTGATGGTCTTCCAACATTCC